GGCTTAGGGACGCCACCGCCCGCCGCGCCCCCAGCATGGGGAAACTTCACTCCAAGCCGGGTCAGTGCCCCCGCCCGCGCGCCGGCCCCTGGCCCCGTGGCCCCCGCCGTCCTCCTCACCGCGGTTGCTAACTCTCTCCCTCTCCTTTCTTTCCTGCTCCCGCCGCCGCCGCCGCCGCCGCCGCCGCGCGCGATGTGCCTGCAGCCGCCGTGTGCAAGCGCAGGGAGAGCCCGGAAGGTAGGGGCGCGCGGGGCACCGACCCCGGGGATGGATCAGGGGAGTCCCGCGGACGGCAGCCGAATGGCCCAGCCCGCCGGGTCTTATTACCAAGGCCACCCCCAAGCTCCAACTCCAGCCACCAGTCCCTCAAACCCGCTCCCGGAGCAGCCTTCGTGCCCCCCTCCCCTGTGTCTCCTCCCCCCGCCTCGGGGTCCTGCGCTCCCTCCGCTGACCCTCCACCCTTCCCCCTCCCGCGTCCCTGGCCTCCGAGCTCACTGCGCCCCCTCTTCAGACGCCCCAGTGCCTTCCCCCAAGATCCTGCCCTCCTCTTTCTGGCCCCCAGCCCCCTCTCCCGAGATCTTGGCTCCTGTGCCCACTGCACCCCCCTCCTGACCCTCAACCCTCTCCTCCGCAGTCCTGGCCTCTGGCGCTCCCTCGTCTGATCCTCGAACTCCTCCTCCCGGGGTTCTGCTCACCCCTCTTGCCCCTTCTGGATCCTTGTTTTTGGGGCTTCGCTGAAGCCCCTTCTCCTGATTACCTACGTCCCTCTCTCAGATTCTGCCCCAGCTCTCGAACCCCTACCCGGCCCCCCGGTGCCTTTGCTCTCCGCCCTCTGCCGCGCCCACTCCTTCCCTCCGCTTTGCTCTGGGGTAGCTTTCGGCCTGGGGCCGGACTCAGGGGTTTTATGTCGTCCCTGTCCCAGGTGACAGCTTCGCCGTGAGCGCCGCCTGGGCTCGGAGGGGCATCGAGGAGTGGATCGGGAGGCAGCGTTGCCCGGGCGGCGTATCAGGACCCCGACAGCTGCGGTTGGCGGGCACCGTTGGCCGAGCCACCCGGGTACGATCCCTACCTTGCCCCACCCCCTCACCCCCTTTCAGCCCCAGGGATGGGTCTCCATATCCACCCCCCCAGCTTTTAGCACCCTGCTGACACAGCTTCTAGTTCTAAAAATCCCTTCTCAGCTGCCCCCTGCTCCACCAACATGACCCTGTGCCCGCATGCCTTGGGGAAGAATCTAAGAGGCAGGTGGGCACCAGAGGCAGAGTGCTGCCTGGGGGGAGAGGTTCTTCGTGAGAAGGTGGTGCAGTCCAGTTGATGAGGAAGCTTGTCTGTTGCTGGAGGGGCTTGGGGGCCTGCTCTGACTTCTACCTTATTTCTGTGGCCAATATTCAAAGGTGGGGTTGGAGGTGGGGCTAGGGAGAGAGGGGAGGCATTAGCAGAGTCTGGGTGAAGGGTAGGGATGTGTTGGCCTCAGGATCTTGTGGCCGCCCCTGAATGTGTTACAATTGCAGCATTCATCAGTGCCATCTACCCAGGAACCCCAGCAGAGCAGGCTGCCATTTGGGTGGCAGAGCTTGGGGGGCACTGAGACCTGGCAGACCCCTTAGCTTGGCCCACAAAGAGAGAAAGGGCCTCATTCCACTGTAGTCTGGGCCCACCCCTGAGCCTCTACCCAGTGGGTCCCCCAGGGTTGGAGTTGTTCCCAGAGGAGCAGTAAGTGTGACAGGGGAATGAGTAAGTCCAGCCCCAGCTCCTGGCCCAGGACTGGTGTTCACAGATGTCCTGTGAGCTCCGGAACTCTGCACGGGGCTTTCAGACGGTCTGCGTGGAACTCGCGCAAGCCGAGGATCAAAGGATGAATCAACTTTTTGATGTGACATTTAATTTTTTTTTTTTTTTTTAACTTAGAGGGGGAGCAGGCTGAGTCTCAGGTCTGGTTAGTTCTTTGGTCTTGTCCATGGGCTGGGGAGAGGCCAGCGGAGTCTTCAGATGTGTGTGTGTGTATTTGGGTGGTGGGACCTGGCAGCTGAGTTGCAGGGGCTGGTGTTGGGCGCTGGGTAAAGTTGATTCCTGAGCATGTCTGCAATAATCTCTGAGTCCTGGGGAAGCCCCCTCTCCTCTTCCACACCACTGCTTAGCTGGGGGCTTTCGCTTCCTTTTCTCTTCATCTGCTGGCTGGGTTGGAATTAGAGCTGCTGTCCCCTAGTAAAGGTCAAAACTTGGTGGGTGGGGGGCACTGCAGTTGTGGCCCTTTAAAAGCAGAACTACAAACTTCCCCTTCTTCCCCCACCATTTCTAGTTTTTGATCTACTTATTTATTTAAAGGCCAATGAAAATGATCCAATTTAGCCATATGAACAAATGCCTTTGCAACCCAAGACAGAGGCCAACTGAGTGGATTTCCATTAATCAAGTTTTGGGGTTTTTTCAGCCTGTTTATTTTTACAAAGTATTCCTGCAGAATGACATTTATTTGCAGTTCCCCCTCCCTCTTTTTTTTCTTTCCTAAACTGCCAGGCAGCTTGCTCCATGCTAGAGGGGAAACTTGAAATACAGCAAGGGCTTACTTCAATTGACTTTTATCTTCAAAGCCATAACAAATGTTACCCGCATGTTTTTGGTGGGTCTCCTTGGCATCCAGTCCGGGAGGATGGGAGGGAGGAGGAAAGAGGCAGAGGAAAACAAAAGTCTGTCGTTTTTAATTAAATAGTAGTGTTCCCAGCAAGAGGAATGCAAGCCAGTAAAAGTTGCCATTGGGGGAAATGAGGGAGGGTGGGGAGGGGCCCCAGCTTAAGTCTGTGGCTTTGGTGAAGTCACGGAATTTTGTTGCCTGGTTTCTTCCCCCAGCTGCTGAGGACGGCATGAGATGGTGTTTGCCCCCCTCCCTCCCTCGTCCCCTCTCTCAGAGAAATGCCAAGGGGTCATTAATATTTGTTCAAAGTACTTTTGAAGATGCGAGGCACAGAGCCATTGGTGTGACATGTGTCAGGTAGTTGGTGGGTAGGCCCCAGCCATCAAGATGTTAAAGGGGGGATGCTTCTGCCTCCTTGGGAGTTGTTCTTGGTGACTGGGACCTGGACGGCTGGGTTCTCTCAAGCCTTGGCCTAGGATGGCCCTGCAACTGTGTCTGCAGAGGTAGAGATGGTGAGTCCACCCTGGGGGACAGCCAGGGTGAGCTCAAGGTGGGGCAGTGCTGTAGGGAGCCTGTGAGACCATTTCTGGTGATACCTGGAGGAATGTTTTTAACCTTCATATTACGTATTTTTTTTTAATCAGAAAAAAATAACCAAGACATCAAACCCATAATTTCATGGATATTACTGCTCAGGATGAAGCAAAGTTGAAAGAGATAGTCTGATTTAGAGTCGATTCAAAGAAAAATACTAAGTACAAGTGGTTGAAATTGTGAATGTGGGAATGGAATGCTCCAAGTTTGGGAAACACCGAGATGCTGAACAGGACAGCAGTGGGCAACCTCCAGTCTAGTTTAATTTCCGTGATTCCCACTGGCAAGGGAGAGGCAGCTGGCAGGTTTGTCCGTTATGTCATCGGGATGTAGGAGGGTGTGGGCTCCAAAGTCTGCTGGGTCCCAAAGGCTGGCAGAGGTCCTCCAACCAGCTCCAGGCCCATCTTGGGGATGGCTTCTGTCTCCACTCCTTCGCCTGGCCTGTTACCAAAGTGGCTGGGGACACATTAGTGGCTCATCCAACTAGCATTCTTGTTATTGCAATGATAGCTACTATTTAAGTGCCTGTGTGTGTCAAGCACTTTGCTTATATAACCTTAATCCTCCTCATAACCCTCTAGAGTTGACAGGCAGGTGGTGTGGACAGTTTTTCTCCCTTTCTGAAGCATGTTTTGGAGAAAGGTAGTCATGTGTGGAGAGGCCCTGTACCTGAGCATTCGACTGGAGGGTGCTGCATTTACTAATTCCCAGAGAGGTGGTGCACCACCCAGCTGCCGAACACTTCAAGATGCGCTGGTTGTGGGGCAGGCAGAAGCAGGAGTGGCTCTAGTTGGCTTCTTCCTCCCTGACGCGGTCTGAGGAGCTTGGTGAAGGTTCAGGGTGGGTCCATGTTGCATGCAAGGTCCTTGGGTGTGAGACGACTACCACACTGGCATTAACCTAAGCCTGCCCTCCTAAATATGGAAGTAAGTGAGGTCAGGCTCTGTCACAATAGCGTCTCACCTTGTGCAAGACATTTTACTTTTGTATACCTTAATTAGCTCATCTGCAAAATGGGTGCAGCAGTGTTCTTATCCCTGGCAGGGTTATGGCAGATAACTCTACAGGTACTAGAAGGTTCGCTGAGGCATTTGTAGGGATGGAGGTGGGGGCCCACAAGCAGGAAGGGGTAGGGCCCAGATTATGAAACCAGAGGCTCTCTGCCCCTCTCTGCTCTTACACGACAGGCTCACTTGGAGGGACACAGGCTAAGCTTTATCCATGGGGGCATAATGAAGTCCAAGGGAATATGAGCACACAGGAGAAAAGTGATGATGAAAGAACAATAAACTGAGCAATGTATATGCCAGAGAACAATGTGCTAAACAGAGTTAGAAAGTAAAATAAGCATAACAGTCTCAAAGAGATAATGGGGGATATTGGAAAATTGAAGCAGCAACAGGCGGTTACAAAAGAAAACCAGTTGAAGGGCTGGCCCGTGGCTCACTTGGGAGAGTGTGGTGCCGATAACACCAACGCCACGGGTTCAGATCCCTATATAGGGATGGCCAATTAGCTCACTTGGGAGAGCAGGGTGCTGGGAACACCAGGTCAAGGGTTAAGCTCCCCTTACCGGTCATCTTAAAAAAAAAGAAAGAAAACCAAATTGAACATATTGAGTATGGAAAATACAGTGGGTGAATACGAAATCTTTTTTTTTTTTTTTGTCTTTTTTCCGTGTCCGGCAACGGATCGCAGCCCTCAGTGTCGCCCCCGTACCGGACCGGGACCGGCAACGGGATCGCAACCCTCGGTGTTGCCCCCGTGCCTCGCTCAGCCAGTGAGCGGGAACCGGTCTGTATGTGGGATCCGAACCCTCAGCGGGAGCGCTGCCGCGCTTCCCAAGCGGCGCACTAGCGCAGTGCGCCACCGGGCCGGCCCCGAATACAAAATCTTAATAGATTGACTGAATTGAGCATAATGGACTCAGGTATCAGGTAGGAAAACACTTGGAGAAGCTGACCCTGCATGTCTCTGTGCATGCTCACATGGCATGTACCTGTGTGCATGTATGAATGTGTACAACTAGATTTAAAGCTATCTCCCTGCCACCCCCCTGGTCTGACCCTTTTGTTCTTTTATAGCAGAGCTGCCTGAAGAAATAGGGCTGAGAACCACGGTGTAGGCAAGCCCGCCTCTGGATCAAAGGCGGCTGTCAGGCGGTTTGGTGATTTGATTAGGGGGCACCTAGTGCATTTTGATATTTGGGGAAGATTAGGAAGGTACAGACCCAGTTGGAGCCCAAGGGGATGTATGGGGCTGGGTGATGAGATTGGAGGCTGGCCCAGCTGCTGCCCGAATGCCGGATTCCAGGGGAATTACCCTTGAATGATACCAGTTGGCACAATTAAAAGGCCCCATGTCTTCACCATATGGAAAGTGTTAGACCTCCTTACGTGGTTTCAAAGCTATGTGCTGGGAGGTGGACTTGACATTTGAGGTAAAACATAAATTAAATATTTAGTGTTTCAGAATTAAAAGATGATTTGCTTTGAGGCTGTGAAGGACTCAGGGTGGAAGGCATTTGGGCCTCTGCTCTCTGGCATCTGTGAGTTCTCCATGGAGGGTCTCCTGCCCACAGGCACCCAGGGCCAGCTTCATAGTGTAGCCTGAGTGCTTTCCTTACTCCTGGGGAATGGGAAGGAGAGACCAGGAGAGCTTGGGCCCAGCAAAATGCCTGGTGTGGCTTCTGGTTTTCAATAGGTCTGGGTCCCTCAGGATAGGTGGCTGGTGGGCAGGGGTGTCATATTCTGAGTGCTATAGTGCATCTTTGTGATGTGGTCTCTGGTAGAGATTTCGAGGAGTATTTTGTCCTCCCTTTGGAACTTTT